AGTTTGAAGTTTATAAATGATAAACCATCGTATTCATAGTAAAGTGATGGAAGCACCTCTTACTTCTCATTTCTTAGAAACCAAACATAAGGCAACGGACTTCAGATGGTTTACCATTTTAGATATGGTTCCTTAATTCCGTCAGGTCTCAACTCTTATATTGACTTTAGTTCCTTCTTGTAATCTCTTATAACTCTTTTTAAACAATATTCTTGTTATTCTTTACAAACTTTGGCAACCACGCCCTATGTTTGAACTAGATGGTCTGTCCCTTTAAAAATTCTTTCACCTTACAGTTTTAAAAACTGTGATTGGGAACACCCTATATCATTCTTTAACATCAACAGTCAGGAGCACTTCAGCCCTGTTTTTGAGTCTGTTTGAAACTTAAAACCTCAATTTCTCAGTAGGGCTATGTTCAAAACTTGTTTGAGTCTCTGCCCTATTTTTGAGTTTGTTTGAAACTTCAAATCTCTATTTCTTATTACTACTGCTTGGTTCTCTTAAATAGGGTTTTATTTAAAACTTTTTTGAGTATCTGCCCTGTTTTTTGAGTTTGTTTGAAACTTTAAAACCTCAATTTCTTATCACTACTGCTCGATTATCTTAAATAGGGCTCTTGAGCTTGTTTGATATCTTATAATTTCTTTATTTCCTTCTGAGGAAACTGATTAGTTCAGTGAAATGAGTTTTGTAGCCGGCATCTCGTTAAGTTTTTGTTTAATTCTAGTTTATTTTTTTATTTTTGTTATTCTATAGTCGATTACTTCTCGTTTGAGGGATTTTCACGGCAATTTCTTTTGTTCTGTGTAATCGTCTACACAGACTGGCAGAGGCTCTCCAAGGTTTTAGAGAGAGCTCTCCCTCAGTCCCCTACCTGGGACTGGACCTGGGGTCATCTATCCCCGAACTTCATCCCTTTGCATGTCAATTTAGCATTATTATAATTTTAAATAAAAATGCAACTCACCAGAATCGTGTGAGGAGGTGACTCGGGTGCTTGCTCATTCTTCTGCCCAGGTGTTGACAATAAATGGGCAACCTCCAGCCCCCTGCCTCTGGTGGTTCTGTTATCTTTAAACTGGGCTTGGGTTGGGCAGCCCTTCAAACAAATTGGCCATCACCTGTGATTTAGGACACATGGCAGCCCTGCAAACTCCTAGGATTGCTAAGAACAAAACCACAGGTGCAGTGAGGCTATTACTTAATTATAGTCAGGGCTGGTCACTGCTAGGCCTGGAAGCTGTTTTTAGGGCCAAAATTCAGTTTTTGGAATACAGTGGTACCTCAGGTTAAGTACTTAATTCGTTCCAGAGGTCCGTTCTTAACCTGAAACTGTTCTTAACCTGAGGTATCACTTTAGCTAATGGGGCCTCCCGCTGCCACCGCGCCGCCAGAGCACAATTTCTGTTCTTATCCTGAAGCAAAGTTCTTAACCCGAGGTACTATTTCTGGGTTAGCGGAGTATGTAACCTGAAGCGTATGTAACCTGAAGCATATGTAACCCGAGGTACCACTGTATGCAGCAGTATGCAGCAAAGCCTCATAACGACTACACGTCCTGGAAACTGTAGTTTCCTCTTCGCAGAGCTAGAATTCCCAGCCTTATTAACAAACCGTGTTTCCTGGGATTCTCTGGGAGAACCTTTTAAAATTCGTGTCGGATGTGCCTTAAATGTATGGTGTCGATCTGCCCTGAAGTTATTCTCTTCCCTTTACAACATAAATTTCTCTCAAATGAATAAAGTCGTAAAAATGTGCCTGGGCTAGTAACTGGACTGACTGACAAGGACCATGACTCTGAGCATGTGCAGAGTTCTTCTCAAGTGGATGAACAGAGCAGGCCACCATGGGAAATAGTGTTGGACTCTCATTCGCTGGTGATAGTTAAGCAGAGGGTCAGCTATTGGTCAGGGATGCTGTAACTGCATCCTGGAAGGCCGCTCCAAGATGACCCTCTCTACTCTTACGATTCCGTGCAGCACTTTCAAGTCAAAGAGATTGACTTCTAGAGCTGAGCCCCATCACCTCCCCTTTTGGCAAAGCCACTTCATCTTAAAATTCCGCAGTAAAACCTATGCCGCTAGAAGCAATTCCCCTCCCTTCAAGTCAGAGGTTTTATCCTACTTAGTACACTTGAGACGCTTGGGCCGCACCCCTAAAACCCTCAACCTACAGGCAGCGGCAATATCATTCTTTTGCAAGGCAGTTTTTCCCTCTGACCCATGTGCCGATTTTGTCGTGCGGAGGGCCTTGGAGGGCTGGCGCAGGCTGCAGCCCCCCAGCTGCGATATGAGAAGGCCAATATCATATGACATCCTTTACCGAATTCATAAAAAGTTGAGAACTGTCTGCTGGTCCAAGTACGAGGCTCGCTTATTCTCGGCGACATACTCCATCACCTTTTTCGGCGCACTGCGCGTTGGTGAGGTGGTACACGAAGAGGGTCAGCGTGGTTCCTCCCGGGGTTTGCTATTAAGCGATGTTACGCTATCACGGGAGGATCTAGTTTTGAGGATACGCAGCTCCAAAACAGATCAGTACGGGAGGGGGGCTTTGGTTCGGCTGTTGGCAACTGGAAAATCAGGCCCATGCCCGGTTAAGGATACCAGGTGTTTCTTATTTCTGAGGACTAATTCAGCAGGGCCACTATTGATCCATGCAGATGGCTTACCCTGACACGGCACCAGTTCACTCGTGTCATGCGCTTAACAGTGGCAGCATGCGGCTTACCCCCCGTGGAGTTTGTGGCGCACTCTTTTAGGATAGGAGCGGCCACCACAGCAATGCACCTGGGCCTCAGTGCTGAGAGGATTAAGGACCTGGGCCGTTGGAAATCGGATGCTTACAAGCGTTATGTTAGAAAAAACTTATGACTGCTTACCTGGGGTTACCTGACCTTGTCCTGTTCTTTCAATTTTCTTGCAGGAGCTATGAGGGCATGCATTTGGATAATCGGGCACTGCATTGGGCCAGGGTCCGCGCCATCAATTCCGGTCTCGGGCCGCACCTTGACTTACCGCCTGGCATCAATATATCCTGGATCTCTCGGAGGGGAATGCGCTGGGCTGAAATGTTGCCCGCAATTAAGGCCAGAGCGGCAGCGGAGGGCCCCCCCAGATGCTTTACTTATTCAGTTAGGAGAAAATGACCTAGGTTACCGAAAGGCAGTCGACTTGATGTGGCACATCTTTAGTGACTTTGAGGAGCTTAAGGCCTCTTACCCAAACATCACCATCATTTGGGCATCGTTGATGGAAAGGCGGAGAGATTGCAGGTGCCCGATAGCCATAAATAGATCTAGGAAAGCCTTGGATCGGGTGGTGGTGCGTAGAGTGGCAGCCCTGGGTGGAAGGGTCATTGACCACCCGGGCATACATTTCAACTGCGAGGCCCTCTACCGGTTTGATGGCGTGCATCTTTCGGATGCGGGAAATGATATTTGGCTGACTGACATAGCAAAGGGAATAAGGGATTGGTTTCAGGCATGAGAGTATTGGCGGCGAGCGATTGCTCGTGTGGCGGTTAGGCATTGGTAAGAAGGGGTTAAGAGGATGTGGGGGGGGGAGGAACGGCATCACCTCCCCCCAGTGAACGAAGGGTGGTCCGATAAAGGACTCCGGGGGCGTGGCCCTGTCCAAAGCCTATGGAGGTGTGGGCCTAAGGCACGCCCCCGAGCGGTGACCCGGGGGAGCTCCTAGTTGACATGCCTCAGCAGGAGACTCCCCCTCTATGGTGTTAACCCTTCCCGTGTCTCCAGCAAATGGGCTGGAGCCGGATAGTCGATAGGACCAATGCCTAAGCCAATGCCTCTCATTCCTGAATTCAATAAAGTTGTGGCCTAATTTGCCCATTTAACCTTAAATTATGGTGTCTGGTGTCTTTATTTATCCTTGGTGGGGGGCGGGAACTCGCCACGCAATGAAGTCCTGATTAACAGTAGCAGCAGCAATTAGTAGGGTGCTTAGTCGATGAATTGGTTAGTTTAATCAGTTAAAAACATTTTGCTGACTGGAAAAAAGGTGCCCTAATTAATTGGGCAGCAGACCTTAAAAAACATTATTCTGAATACAGTGGTACCTCGGGTTACATACGCTTCAGGTTACAGACTCTGCTTACCCAGAAATAGTGCTTCAGGTTAAGAACTTTGCTTCAGGATGAGAACAGAAATCGTGCTCCGGCAGCGCAGCGGCAACAGGAGGCCCCATTAGCTAAACTGGTGCTTCAGGTTAAGAACAGTTTCAGGTTAAGAACGGACCTCCGGAACGAATTAAGTACTTAACCTGAGGTACTACTGTAAAAGCATCACTTTAAAAGAGAACACACACATCTGTGTGCAACAAGGACTCACCAGCGCTGATCCCTTCTGTGACATGCCTATGCATAATTTTAAAAACATTTCTCCCCTGGAGAATTACTGTTTTCCCCTCACATGCAAACATAAAGGTAAAGGGACCCCTGACCATTAGGTCCAGTCGTGGCCGACTCTGGGGTTGCGGCACTCATCTCACTTTATTGGCCTGACGGCGTACAGCTTCCGGGTCATGTGGCCAGCATGACTAAGCTGCTTCTGGCGAACTAGAGCAACACACAGAAACGCCGTTTACCTTCCAGCCAGAGCGGTACCTATTTACCGTATCTACTTGCACTTTGACGTGCTTTCAAACTGCTAGGTTGGATGGAGCAGGGACTGAGCAACGGGAGCTCACCCCATCGTTGGGATTCGAACTGCCGACCTTCTGATCGGCAAGTCCTAGGGTCAGTGGTTTAACCCACAGCGCCACCCTTTTCATGCAAACATAGATTTGATCAATTAATTGCCTGATCAATCAGTTCAGACTCATAGGATTAATGAATTTAAGCTGCATACCTGTACCTGCAAGTAAGAGCCATTGAACTCAATGGGACTTCCAAGTAGATATGCAGAGGATCGCGCCATATGGTTTTCTGGTGGCAGCTCCAGAAATAAAATGTCATAACGCAACCAAGGGGAGGAGAGCTTTCCTAGAATGTTAGTTATTTATTCAGCTCTACTAGAAGGACGACAAGCCTCTGGAAATAAACATGATACCAATAGAATTCATCAACGAATAAATTCAGTGGTGTGTTGAAAACTAGCTCGAAAAACATCAGGCTTTCATCGCAATCTCTTTGAGGCCCGTTTGACTTAAGCTGCCGCCGGGAAGACTGCTTCTACGGTCGCCAATATTCAAACTGGACGCACATCGGTCCTGGGCCACCGTAGCAGGACGGAACCGCCTGTGCCCTGCTTCATCGATCTTCTCAAATACATAGCCGGGGGGCTCTTTGTACGTGGCAGGGCAGATATGGACTTTCTTGGGTGTGTAGCACGTGGCGTAGGTAGTTTCGTCAACAAACGGGACATGAGGCCGAGACGCCGGGAATCGGGGCTTGAAGCTCTTGGTGAATGGAAGCGGGTGAGGCACATAATGGCTCTGGAAGGTGGTCAAGGTGTCCATGGGGACTTTGGGCAACGTGACCTCGCAGTGAGGAACAATGGCCTTAGGTTTCGAATAGTCCCAATGCTTATAATCCTCCTTCATGGTGGAGCAGTGGTCGAAGGGATCTGTGTTGGTTACGACACGGGCCAGGGGTTTGCAGGACGTTGCCGGGCGGCCGTGAGGGTCGACGTAATGAATCTGCGCCATCGTCTTGAGGTCCATCTTCTCCTTAGGCGGTGTGTATGCGGCAGGCTTCCTGCTGACCGGCGGGGCCATTGGCCAAGCTAAGAACTTTTCCCGGAATTCAGTAGTCCCCTCAAAATTGGCAAGGTCCGGCCTCACGTAAGGTGGCTTCACAGACTGAGCGGGTGGCCCTGCCAGCCCTTTGTAGGACTGCTTGTGGGTGGTGAGACCGTCGAATGGCTCCTTGCTGGGCTTGAATGGCTCAGGGACATGGGCGTGGCGTTTGGACAAGGGGTGTGCCACGTAATTCAACTTATAGTTGGTCATAGTGTCCAAGGGTATCTTTGTAATGCGTGGCGATCTAAAAGGTTTGCAGCTCTTTGTAATCACTGGGCCCTTGTAAAGGTACTCATCCTGGTGCGTAGTCCGACAGTCAAATTTATCTTCTGCTGGGCGGAAAGTGTGTGGCGGCTTAATCATGTCCCTTTTGGGCTGCTTCCATGGCAAGTAATCAGCTGAAATGTAAGGAGAATGCAACTTTAAAGCAAAATCATATGCTAACATTTGCTGACTAATAATATGGGGCTATTGTTTATCCTCATATTCTCATTTCCACACCACTTGCGTGGTGAGTTCCCGCCTCCCCCCAGTGGAAATAAAGACACACGACACAGATATTTAAGGTTAATGGGCTAAATATGGCCACAACTTTATTGGTTACAGGTGATGAGCGGTATTGGCTTAGGCATTGGTCCTAACCAACTATCCGGCTTCAGCCTGTTCGCTTGAACTCCGGGAAGCGTTAACCACCAGTAGGGGGAGTCCTGCTAATGGACATCAACTAGGAACTTCCCCGGGGTTACCGCTCGGGGGCGTGCCTTAGGCCCTCACCTCCATAGACTTCGGACAGGGCCACACCCCCCGGAATCCTTTATCGGACTACCCTTCAATATGCGGGGGAGGTGATGACGCTTCCTCCCCCCCCCTTCTATCTACAATACCAATACCAATGCCTAACCGCCAATACCGAGGAAGGTGTGACAATTTGCTACGAGGTAGGCGAAAAACCTACCTCGGGGACGCGGGTGGCGTCCCTACCTGTGGGACGCGGGTGGCGCTGTGGGTTAAAGCCTCAGCACCTAGGACTTGCCGATCGAAAGGTCGGCGGTTTGAATCCCCGCGGCGGGGTGCACTCCCGTTGCTCGGTCCCAGCGCCTGCCAACCTAGCAGTTTGAAAGCACCCCCGGGTGCAAGTAGATAAATAGGGACCGCTTACTAGCGGGAAGGTAAACGGCGTTCCGTGTGCTGCGCTGGCTCGCCAGATGCAGCTTGTCACGCTGGCCACGTGACCCGGAAGTGTCTGCGGACAGCGCTGGCCCCCGGCCTATAGAGTGAGATGGGCGCACAACCCTAGAGTCTGTCAAGACTGGCCCGTACGGGCAGGGGTACCTTTACCTTTACCTTTTAGGCGAAAAACCAAGTGGCTGGTGCCAATTTGCCAAGTGGGAAAAAAATTCCTACCAGGCCCCTCAACGGTGACCAACCAAGGTCCATAGCAAGGTCAAACACGAAAACCTTAAAGGGCGGGAGGGTGGGAAACTGGAGCAGCTGGAAGAGGCAAAGAGGGAGATCCCTGGCTGCCCCTGCATTAAATGGAGCAGGCCACCCAATTGGCTGGCCAGGGGATGACCCGATCAGGGATTCCTTCAATCATGCAGAGGCTGAGAGCCAGCCCCCGTGCGCATGGTGGGAGGGAGAAGCCCGCAACCCCACCCCCGTTCTATGTTGGAAGTGGCTTTATGGCATGCCATGCTAATGAATAAAATAGCAGGATTTATGCAAACGTGGGCAGGAAGAACGAATACAGCTGCTTTGTTATTAGAAAGATGTCAAGACATTTGTTGTATGAATGAACAGAACGAAACAGAGATGAGATGCACACATTATCAACATGGTAATTGTATAGCTGAATAAATACTGAAACAAGACGTCCCTAGATCACTGTCTCTTTGTACTTTCCTCTGTTTAGGGATGTGCAACATCATGTTAAGAACATAAGGGCCTTCCTTGCTAGATCAGACCCGCTTCTAGTCCAGCGTTCTTTTTCACACAGCGCCCAATCAGATGCCTTTAGGAAGCACACAAGGAAGAATGGGGAGCAAAAGCCCTCTTACAGCAGTTGTCACCCAGTGACTGGCCTTTAGAGGCAGGCTGCCTCAGATTCAGGCAATAACATATTGCCATTACGACCAGTTGCCATTTTGATTTAAATGTGCATTTCCTGAGTTGAGCACCCCAAAAAAAAGGTGTACAGAAAGAAGACTGCTCCTTCAATTTCACTAAAACAGACACGTGTGGCGCTGTGGTCTAAACCACTGAACCTAGGGCTTGCCGATCAGAAGGTCAGCGGTTCGAATCCCTGTGACGGGGTGAGCTCCCGTTGTTCAGTCCCAGCTCCTGCCAACCTAGCAGTTTGAAAGCACATCAAAGTCCAAGTAGATAAATAGGTACTGCTCCGGCAGGAATGTAAACAGCGTTTCCATGCGCTGCTCTGGTTCACCAGAAGCAGATTAGTCATGCTGGCCACATGCTGACAAATGCTGGCTCCCTCGGCCTATAAAGCGAGATGAGCTCGCAACCCCAGAGTCATCCACGACTGGACCTAACGGTCGGGGTACCTTTACCTTTTAGCCCAAAGAGAGTGCAGGATAGCATACGAGGGTGGAACTATAAGAAACACAGGGCTGCCTCTGAAATCGACCTGGTTTTTCCATGCAACATGTTTCCACTAAGGGATTCCACTAAGTGATTCCATGACAGCAGCCAAAGAAAGCTGTGAAGCAGGACTAAAGGACTGTAACATCACAGCATCATCACTGAAGGTAAGTTCTTCTACGTATTACCCTAAAAGGGAGAGATGCTCACCGCAGGGCCACAAGCTCTCTGTTGTGGGTGGGGTGGTTTGACTCTAGAAGACTTGAGTTAGTATTCGAAAGAATGATGGTGATACCAACTCCATACTTCATGGGCATTTTGACTCTGCTGGTGAACCTATAACCTAGGAGTCACCCGTCTTTTTTAGGTCTGTGGGCACATCTAGGTCCTTTTAGTTGAGTGCAAATGGGCACCACCAACACCCCTCTCCCATAGAGTCAGAAAGAGAGAACGTGGGCACTTGGCTTCTTCGAGCATTCTCAGTAAAAGTAGAATAAATCCAGTAGAATTTATCTGAGCCTTGAAAAACACAGATGGAGATGAAGGAGGAAGTGGGGGAAAGTGTGGCTCTTCCAACTTCCTGCTTCAGTTTTATGAAGAAGAAGAAACATGAGCACCCTCATCACTTTATGACCAAGGAGCTATGAGTGGGGAGTTTCGGAAGCCCCTGCTCTAACCAAACCATCTCATCTAATTGCATCTTGCGGCCTAGGACCCTCATACCTACAGGACCGCCTCTCCCAGTATGCCCCACGGAGGACCTTAAGGTCCATATATAGCAACACCCTAGAGGTCCTGGGCCCTAAGGAAATCAAATTAGCCTCAACCAGAGCCAGGGCCTTTTCAACACTGGCCCCGGCCTGTTGGAACGCTCTGTCTCATGAGACCAGGGCCCTGCAGGATCTGATTTCTTTCCGCCTGGCCTTCGGCTTGGAATCAATTTGATTCCCTCCCCCTCTTTCCTTTTTCCTTTCTCCTTCTGTGATGGAACTCATATTTGGGGATTTCCCTGGCTTTTTTCTGGCCCACGTAGGATCAGCCTGAATAGTTGGCCTTGGTGAAGATTAGGCATTTTCATGCCCAAAAAGTTTTTGATTTGAGTTTCTACTGAAATGAGGCTGTATTTTAATGTTGTATTTTAATCTTGTTTTTAAGTTGTATTTTAATCAATTGTTTTTATACCTGGTGTTAGCCGCCCTGAGTCCAGTCTTGGCTGGGGAGGGCGGGGTATAAATAATAATAATAATTATTATTATTATTATTATTAATGAATCCCAAAAGTTATCTATGTGTTGTGTGTGCAACAGCCCTTCTTGTCTGCTCTGGCACAGCCCCAACAATTTGTTGTGATGCAAAGCCCTGTGCGGTCTTTAACTTCTTCCTGATTCTCATCCGCACACCTGCATCTTTGCTACCTGAGAAGCTGCCATCGAGACACAGCACCTGTGACAGCCTTGGGATTTAAATCTGCTTCCTTGCAATGCTGCGTCCCAAGGAGGACTGAGGTGCTTGCAAGGGATCTCCGCGGACAGCCACAGTTTAATAGCTACTGCACGCAATAAAGGATTAAGGTTACTTTGGGAAGAAGCCGTGTACACGTATTGAAAGGAACCACGGGGAAATGGAGCGACGACTAAGTGAGAACATCCCTCGTGTTTTTTGCGGCTGCTTCTTAACACAGTCTCTACGCAACCATGGAGCAAATTTATAAGGATTACCTTTCAAACACACTTTTTGTAGGCCGTTGAAGACATACGGAAGTATTTCCAGAGTTTGCCATGACTTGTGATAATCTGGCCTAGGATGTTTGCTGATATGGGAGTTTTGTACAATATTTGGAAGATGGCAAACGTTTCCATATGTCTTCCATTGCACATGTGTGTGTGTGTGTTAAAATGAACTCCACACATTTGGAGCTCTCCTAGGTATTATGAATATATTTCACTTTGTTGGAGCCAACAGCGCTACTATCCACCATCAAAATATGTTACAATTTCATTGAAACTCTCCTTCTTCTCTGGTGGGTATTAATGGCTTCCCATGTATCACCATCTTGAAAAAATTAAGAAATAGGGGAGGGAATCAAGGATACGCACCACATGTTTAAAAAAAGGCTCAGGCAGACCTCAGCATAGCCAAACAAAATGACTCTAAAATTAGATTATCTACCTATGGAGTTTATCTGGGAGATAATGAGAAGACTGGAACAATACACAGGGTGATGCTGCAAAGCTGCAAGGCATTCATTGTGACCTGATAGCATCATTTTCTGCCACATTGTCTGGCTGGGGTGTATGTAGATACAGTGGTGCCTCGCAAGACGAAATCAATCCGTTCCGCGAGTCTCTTCGTCTTGCGGTTTTTTTGTCTTGCGAAGCACGGCTATTAGCGGCTTAGCGGCTTAAAGAAAAAGGAACAAACTCGCAAGAACTCGCAAGACGTTTCGTCTTGCGAAGCAAGCCCATAGGGAAATTCGTCTTGCGGAACGACTCAAAAAACGGAAAACCCTTTCGTCTAGCGAGTTTTTCGTCTTGCGAGCCATTCGTCTTGCGGGGCACCACTGTAAATGCAAAAACTGCATTTTCCCCTCTCACTCTCATTTCTGTCTGAATTATATTCTATCTCCATATAATGAATGGAAGGGATTGTCCCATACCTGACCTTGAAAGATAACAGGCTAATGTGGATCTGCATTGGTGGGTCTAATCCCTGCACCACAAATTCCCTTCCAACTTTATAATTGTATGATTCTGTGAAATGGGGAAAGTGGGTTGTATCAGAGGCTTCCATCAGCAGAACGGGGAGGGGGGCAATTGGGGGCAATCGTCCTCTGCCCCAGTGCACCCCTCCCACATTGTTCCAAAGTAGGGCCAGATTTAGGTTTGATGAGGCCCTCGGCTACTAAAGGGAATGGGGCCCTTTCTATGTCCAGCTGTCCTTTCTCAACAACAAATGGTCACTGTTTTTTGTGTTGAATATATGCTATATGGTAATTTATGGACCTAATAGGGATCTAAAGCCATTTGCACATAACAAAATATGTATTTTATCAAAATAATTTTTGAACCGAAATACAATTAAGAAGTATATTAATAGTGAATTACAATTAAGAAGAAATTGCTGTTTTGAGGGGTAGTTTTTTGAAAGTCTGGAATGGATTAATCTGTTTTGCATTACTTTCTATGGGAAAGCATGCCTTGGTTTTGGAACGGATTTCCGGAATGGATTAAGTTTGAGAACTAAGGTATATAGAAATATATAAAAATGTATATAGAAATGAGCAAACCAGTGATATTTTAGGAAGCAGGCTAGCAGGCGGGGCCCATTACTTACATCAGGCATAGGCAAACTCGGCCCTCCAGATGTTTTTTTGGGACTACAACTCCCATCATCCCTGACCACTGGTTCTGTTAGCTAGGGATGATGGGAGTTGTAGTCCCAAAACATCTGGAGGGCCAAATTTGCCTATGCCTGACTTACATCATAGGAGCACAACACAAAACATTGTTGCTGGATGTAGGTTTTATTTTATTACTTTTTTATCTTATATTTGGGAAATGTACATCCAGGTTTTTTTCCTTTAAATTTTTTGGGGGCCCCCAAGAGAGTGGGGCCCTAAGCTAGAGCTTGTTTAGCTTTTACATAAATCCGGCACTGTTCCAAATCCTCCAGAGTTAACTTAGAGTGGGCAGGAGCTGCAGTAGGGAGAAGGAACTGCCTCCTTCCCCATTATACTGATGGAAGCAGCTGCCTCCCATCCCCCATTGAAGTGAATGGAGAGCCCCACTCGCAGGAACTTTGTGAGTGCAGTTTAATTGGTCTGACTCTGGCTAAGGGGATATAACTGCCTGAATACTAGAAAGTGCCACTTTGTTCCAGTCCTCCAAATCGATGAAATGTGCCCTATAAACAATGAATCAGCACAATATGCCCAAGACCGAGGGACCAATTATTAGCTGGGGATTTCCATTTGCAGAGAATTGTGATAAAAAGTTGTAAATTGCAACCAAATGTAGGCGAGCTGCGTTTCATTACGGCTCTCGGAACCCCGGCAAAAGCTCTGCAAATCATTACCTAAGGTTTTCATATGGTTCATCTGCAGGTAGTTTAAGCACTTCGGTTTGGGACAGTAACGTCGTTGAGGGGATGAATCCGCACACTCGAAGGGCCAGGGAAGACGGGACAGAAGGGACATGCATGCACAATCGGCATGCGTAGGCGGGGAGCAGGATTGTGTCCATGGCATGCGCTCCAACATTTCTCCAATGAAAACAGGGAATTCTCTTCTGTGTCAGGAAGATGCTCCCGCATTTGATCTCACGCACGCACGGACGTCACCTGGACATTGACATCTGGCACTTTGAGCCAATTGCAACCTCTCCACTGAATCTACTTCACAGGATTGTGGTGAAGAAAAAACGTGTGAGGGAAGGGATTGCGCACAACACCTTCCACAGACAAATGGAATGAAATTATTATTATTATCATTATCATTATTATTATTATTAATAATAATAATAATAATACCCCAGCCAAGGCCGGGCTCAGGGCGGCTAACAAGCAATAATAAAACAAGTTCAATGAATACAACTTAAAAACAAGATTAAAATATTGAAACATTAAAATATTAAAATGCAGCCTCATCACAGGAGAAAGGAAAAAGAAAAAGGAATAATTGTATCTGTAAGCTGCCTTGAGTCCCTGTCAGGGGAAAAGGTGGGTAATAATAATAATAATAATAATAATAATAGTAATAATAATAATAATAATAATAATGGAAATGGTGAAAATGATCAAGAACATACCAAAGAGTAAATCCTATTGAACTCATTAGAACTTAGTTCTGAATAAAAATGCTTAGGATTGCAGTGTAAGGCTACACAGTCTTTAATCAGTTTCTTGGGAGTAAGCTCCACTGAATACAGCGGGACTTACTTCTGAGTAGACATGTAAAGGCTTGCATTGTAAGGCTCCATTTACAGGAAAGGAATCAACACTCCACGCGTTTCCTTAAAAATGAAGCATTGCCATGAAAAAATTTAAAGTGGATCGGTGACCTTTTCCCTCGAAATTATAGGGAGAGAGAGAGAGAAAGAGCAAAGACGTGGAAGGGAGGAAAAAGGATAACCGGGACATCCCGGAATCAAATCATAAACTGGGATGGCCTCAGTAATTCTGGGACTGTCCCTGGAAAATCAGGGCACCTGGCGGGTCTGCCACAGGATCCCCCAACCCCGTTAGTCACATTTCCCATACCTTGTGAATGACTTAGTGCATACAGACCTTCTGTATACAAGCCCTGTAGGCAGTCAATATGTTTGTACACATACCATTTGTTCACACACTATACAAAATGTTCATATTGGAGTAGTGGAGGGTCCCGGGGACACCATCCTGCTTCCTCCTCTTGCACCAAGGGTCTACACCACTGAACCTCTTGGGCTTGCCAATCAGAAGGTCGACGGTTCGAATCCCCGCGACGGGGTGAGCTCCTGTTGCTCTGTCCCAGCTCCTGCCAACCTAGCAGTTCGAAAGCACGCCAGTGCAAGTAGATAAATAGGTACCACGGTGGTGGGAAGTTAAACGGTGTTTCTGTGCACTCTGGTTTCCGTCACTGTGTCCCATTGCACCACAAGCGGTTTAGTCCTGCTGGCCACATGACCCAGAAAGCTGTCTGAGGACAAATGCCAGTTCCCTCGGCCTGAAAGCAATTTGAGCACCGCAACCCCGTAGCTGCCCTTGACTGGATTTAACCATCCAGGGGTCCTTTACTTTTACCTTGTTATACCTGCGTCATGTTTAAAGTTCCTGACCTGCCTACAAGTTTGAATATCTATATTTCTGACAGTATCCCCAGCAGAGTTAACACTGTTTACATACTAGGGTTTCATTTCTCTTAATCAGTGAAGTTGTTCCAGTAACTGCGACACTTCTAACATGTTTTTTTTGGGGGGGGAGGTGCCGTTACTGTGGACCCTCGAGTACCCCCAGGAAAATACCTCCACTGCTCTTAACATTTAAGTGAGCCATTGCTCACTCTAGTTTAACAGCCCTTTCTCAGGGTAGCATTCTGTGCCACAGACACAGCACTGAAAAGGCTCCTCACTGGGTGCGTCTCCCCAGCTGCATCCAGCTTTGCATATCCTCTGGTGATATGCAGATTCTGTACACAGATTCTGCAGTCTTTAAATACTGAGATGTGAACAAGAAGCTGCCATGAGATAACCCCACCACAGCTGACCTGCAGTCCCCAAGCAATAACTGCCTCAGACACAGGAGCCAAGCCAGAGTTGGCCGCTTAATAATAATAATAATAATAATAATAATAATAATATTTTTTATACCCTGTCCTCCTCAGCCAGAGCCGGGCTCAGGGCGGCTTACACCAATAAAATCACAGTAAAAACATACAGGTTAAAATGCAATTTAAAATGCAGCCTCATTTTAAAAGTAGCCGATAAATCAAGATCATAAGGGGAGGAAAACATAAGGGTCAGAACGAGTCCAAACCAAAGGCGCAGCTCTGTCTTGCAGGCCCTGCGGAAAGATGTCAAGTCCCGGAGGACCCTAGTCTCTTGTGACAGAACGTTCCACCAAGTCGGGGCCAGAACTGAAAAGGCCCTGGCCCTAGTTGAGACCAATCTAAACACCTTGCGACCTGGGACCTCCAAAATGTTGTCATTTGTGGACCTTAAGGTCCTCCGTGGGGCATACCAGGAGAGGCGGTCCCGTAAGTACGAGGGTCCTAGCCGTATAGGGCTTTAAAGGCCAAAACCAGCACCCTGTACTCCACCGGGAGCCAGTGCAGTTGGTAAAGCACCAGATGAATGTGATCCCGCGGCAAGGACCCTGTAAGGATAGAATGAGGTGGTGGAACCTTACTGGTCCCTCGCGTCACCTGATCCTCGCCGAGTTGGTCGCTGCAACACCAGACTCTGGCCATTTATAGTGATGGAGCTATAAGTGCAAAAGAAAGCATCTCTGTCCTGCGGCAAATTGCTATGGTGACATCGTACGGATTAAGGCGCCTTTGTTTCAGCCCCGTGTCCAAGATGTTGCAAAGAAGCAGATCGCCTTATAAAATAGCTCCTTTGACACTTACCTTTGTATGTTGGTACTGTGGTCATCTTGTCATCGGAAGAATATTTCCGTTCCTGAGGCATGCAAGGACGCACTCGATTAATGGGGTAAGGGTTGTAGTCTTGCTTATACGTAGACAACAGGTCCATAGCTGCATTACTCTTGAAATATTGTTCGGGAGGCCTCAGCTTTATAGGCGATACTTCATGAGGGACGTAATCTCTCCTGTAAACAAGAACGCCGGCATGGCTCACTTGTGTTAATATCTAGAACCGAGGAAAAACATGTGTCTATATTGCACCTGTCCTTAGATAATGTTGTCGGACAGGTTTAATGCCCCTGGAAGCTGCCAGGGGATTTGGGTTGACAAGCCAACTCGCCCTGTTCCCGCAACTGTGATTTGTTTTTACGTTCCTAATGTTGAATGTTAGGATATTGTGACCTGCCTGGGGACCTGGTGGTGAAAAGCAGGTAATAAATTTAATCATCATAAATGATAATAGTCTTCAATTGTTTTTCACCAAAGCCAGACTACACGTCTTTCCTTCTGCAGTGTTGGATGGCAGGAGTTCCCTACCAGGACAGACTTTGCTCGTGTGCTCAAGACATCGATTCCATAAAACATATTTTGTTGCACTGTGCAAAATATGAGCAAGCCAGGGCTGAACTGATATTACCCTTGCTGGTACCTTTCCCGTGAAAAGCAGAGGCTCACTATGTCAGGTTCCTATTGGAAGACCGGACAAACGCTAGAACATTAGCAGTGGCAAAGTTTTTATCGGTGGTTGCAAAAACCAATGATCCCTATATTCTGAACAAAATGCTTGTTTAACCTGGAGGTAGGCTGTATGAATTGTACATTGCTTTTTAACGATTTGTTGGGTCTCTGGACCATAATAAAGATTGTTGTTGTTGATGATAATAGTCTTCAATTTTTTTACACCCGAGTCCCATATCTAGCCCACACATGCACTTGAGGATACACTTTTTATTTCCCCCCTGGTATGTCTGTATGGTGGTAATCAAGCTGGGAACCTGTAGTGGGTCCTAACTTGGCAGCTGTTAAAGGCCAATTGTTTAAAGAAAAAGAAACTCACAAGCGTTGTGCTTAGCAGGACATTGCTGTTGCTGCTGCTGCTGCTGCTGCTGTTATTGCTGCTGTGTACAAACTGTACTCCCTTGACTTGTGAACATCAAAGCAGCAGAAATATGAGATGATTGGACCCTTACTGAGCTCAAAACTCATGGGTACCCCCAACAAAAATTTTAAAAAATTTGGCAAAATATTTGGATTTTATGATTTTATGATATGTATTGGTATAATTCGGATTAATTAAGGCAATATGATTAGATTTTTAAATGGAAAACTTAATAAAAATTATTTTAAAAAAACAAAAAAAACTATGCTTCCTTCTCCACCCCATAGCCTCTTCTTCCAAGTCTAATGAAGCCCCATAGATAAGGCTGCATCCATACATTCTTGAGTATCGTAGCTAGGGACAGTTCAAAAACCTCCTGTTCTACAAGAATTCTCAGTTTTTAGGCAGAGGCTCTGAGATTACATCTGTGAGCTCCTTTAGTACCCCTTGGGCGCAGCTTATCAGGCCCTGGATATTTGAATTTGTGGCAAAGTAGCTAGGTGTCCCCTTGCCACCTGTCAAGCCTTGTTCTGCAATGGCTGTGATTTAATGTTTTTTTATGCTCTGTACTCCTTTGATGGTCCGCTCACCATAATAAACATTGGACTGATCTTCCCTGTCTCAGTTTATGAGGCCAAAATACCTCTGTTGCCCAGAGAAAAGAGCAACATCCATTCTGCACTCTCTGCCCTCTCCATTCAGCAGGATAACAAACCCTCCATCATTTCCCTCCTCAAGTCCCGAAAATCAGAACTTCACCCCCCCCCCCACGGGACTGCAACACACATCTTTCCCCAGGTATGTCTGTTTCTTGGCTCACAGATACCCAACACTTGCCAATTTGTTACCTCATAGTAGAAATGCCCTCCATTGGTACTGGCTGCTTATTGTACTCTGTGACGGGTTTGCAGGATTCTCTGGGTTCAAAGTTGGGATAAAGTGGGTATTTCTCTGTATACTCAGTGAGGAGACATGGCTTCTCGTTCATTTCGAAGGGTCTGGTTATATGAGGGCAACGATGGCGCCTGGAGGAAGCACAAAGGTTAGGAATTAGTCAGCGTACAAAACAAGAACTCTCAGCTCTGCAGACTGCTTCCAGGGACAGTGCTGAGGACCGAGACATGTGACATAGTAATAAAGAAGAGATCCTTAGAGCATGTGCAGAGATCCTTCCCCATGGCACAGATTCACCAGAGCTAGCCCTAAAACACTGTACCTCAGGTTAAGTACTTAATTCGTTCCGGAGGTCTGTTCTTAACCTGAAACTGTTCTTAACCTGAAGCACCACTTTAGCTAATGGGGCCTCCTGCTGCTGCCGCACCGCCGGAGTACGATTTCTGTTCTCATCCTGAAGCAAAGTTCTTAACCTGAAGCACTATTTCTGGGTTAGCGGAGTCTGTAACCTGAAGCGTATGTAACCTGAGGTAGCACTGTACAGGGGGAAGAAGAGGGACGGCAAGCCTTCCTACAATAAAATAATAATAATAATAATAATAATAATAATAATAATAATAATAATTTTATTTATATCCCACCGTCCCCAGCCAAAGCCGGGCTCAGAGTCACAGAAGTATGGTTTCCTGCCAAGTTTAAATGTGAATGCTTTTCCGTTTTGAAATTAATTTATACCTCACCTGTGAAGTAAGGCAATGTTGCTGCTGCTTAAAATGTGGGAACCTTAGGCAAAACTGCAAATGAATAAATCCCCTCTGGGAATATTGACAGTTGCATTCAGAGATAAGTCTGCCTTTCCTGTATTAAAATTCAGTGGCCCATGCTGTTGACCTCCCTCTCCCTCTGCCGAAAGCCAAGAAATGCTGGAATGCCTACAGGTGATTTAATGGGAACAATCTGGAGCATTCCTAGTTGAGAGAAGGTTCTGGTCCCAGGCCTCTTGAGCAGGGATGGGGTTGGAATTCAGTTTGATTTGCATTACCCGATTCACAGTTCCTAAAACAGTACGCAAACCAGAATGCTGGTATCAGTTAAAATTGGCACTTCTCCAAGATGAGGATAAAAGACAGGGGAAAAGAGTAGGTTAATGTGAACTGAAACTGTAATGAGGCAGAAGGAAGTCTACAATAAAAAATAAGTAAAGAGATTTAACCCACACCGAAGGTTCAAAATACACAAGAAATACCAACACAGGGTAGAATTATATTAAATAGAACCTATCAGGTGATAGGTATTGAGAATGTTTAAGTTATCATTCTGTTATAGTTAAGTTTTGTCAATTTGTATCTTTTTGTTTTTTCTTTCCTTTCTTTTCTTTTTTTATTTACGTTGACGTGTATTTTTTTCCCCTTTCCTCTTTTCATATAGGTTATTAATGTATGTATTTGTTAACTATGTATTTATGTTTTTGCCAATAAAAAAATTAAAAATAAATAAAATTTGTGCTTCTCTTGAGTTGAAAACTTGTGTACAAAAACAAGTGTATAAGGAGAAAGCATACCCCCAAAAAAGCAAACACGTGAACACATGAAATGCATATTGAAAGCAATACACAAACTGAAGTGTAGGTGGGTTCCCATGAGACAAGACACAGTGGTAACAGCAATAACCTTTATTGAACCAACAGAACTGGACAACAGGGGCAAAGCAACTGCTTATATACATTTCTGAAGGACTGGGCCACTCCCACTCCCAACGTGATTGGCTGTCTAAACTCCCAAGCTGCGAATCAGGGCCAATGGCAGAGGCCCAAATCCTGAAATGTTCTGTGATTGGACATCATGCATCGAATTAGAAAGCAGGGGCTCAGAATCCTTAGTCCAGACTCAAGCTCAGGCAAACACAGACCACGGAGTACATAACCCAAACATTAGGTTAAATTGCTTCCAAAAACATGTATATTGGGCAAAAGTACGTACAAAATTTTCTAGAAGAAATGCACGCTAAAATGGTGACAAGTCGTTGAGGTTTTTCAAGAATGCAAACTGATGAGGGAATGAGGTGAACTGAAGTTAAGACGGGAGAAACAAGAAACTCAAAGGAGTGTCTCCACCCCCATCGTTCATCCCGGACACTGAGATCCAGCGCCGAGGGCCTTCTGGCGGTTCCCTCATTGCGAGAAGTGAGGCTACAGGGAACCAGACAGAGGGCCTTCTCGGTAGTGGCGCCCGCCCTGTGGAACGCCCTCCCATCAGATGTCAAAGAGATAAATAATTACCTGACATTCAGAAGACATCTTAAGGCAGCCCTGTTCAGGGAAATTTTTAATATGTAACGCTGTACTGTTTTTAACACTGATTGGGAGCTGCCCAGAGTGGCTGGGGAAACTCAGCCAGATGGGCGGGGTAGAAATAATAAATCATCATCATCATCATCATCATCATCATCAAAGAAACCAAAACAGAGAGTTTGATTCATCCATACTTCTGGGTTTATCTTGATTCACAAAAATCACCCTCAGAGTCCTATGTACTGATTGTTAGAAATTCCAAATTCTGGATTCAGAATCTTCAGTTCCAAACTTATTAGTCAAGGGAGTGGAAAATAGCAGTTGGGATTTATTTTCAACGCGTGGAAGTGAAATTTAGAGCCAATGCATATGGTCAAATGGACCTCTACCTCTTAGCTATGGCCTCATTGAAGTCACAATGGCTGGGCCAGCAGAAATAGTAGCAACCTCATTGTACAGAGCTGGAGTAAAACATACAAAGCTATGGCCGCTATTAAATCAGCCCTAAATCAGACCATCGCAGAGACCCTCTATTGTAATTTAATGTTAGAAAATACACTCTATTTATGGCAGCAGGTCTTTAGTACCAACTGCCCACAAAACTGGCATCTAGTTGATCAGAAAGCCACACATTTTTGCACTTGTGACTTACACTGTCAAAGCAGCCTGGTGCATGACATCATCTGCACACAAGTGCACTTCCAAGTTCATGCAGATCATTAAAAGGTCGTTAAATAGCAGTGCAAATCATAAAGCACTAGCCGTGAATCCCCAGGGCAAGCTCTGAAGCAGCTCAAACATTCTTCTCGCTGACCTAAACAAACTTCCTTTCCCGAGTCAGGCAAAGAGAAATATTCAAGCCAAATGCATTTTCCTTTTAAGTACAGCAAATTTCTGGCATTGTTCTGTATCTCAGCGACTTTGTTCAAGTTGGCCTGATCCTTTTTGTCATCTGAAGAGAAATTAACCACTTAAAAATAATTGAAGTTATCTTATCCCCCTTTTTCTCTTTGCAGCTGTTACAAGAACAACCTGAATTTACTGAGGAGAAAATAAGAGTTGAGTCCAGTGAGCTACTCATGCGTTTAGGGGGGAGACAAGGAATATTCCAGCTCTTTTTCTGTGTGGAGGGGCTTGTTTGGTAAAAGGAGGGGGCGCTGCAATGTGCTCAGCACACTGCCAGCAAATGACTGGGGGTTGTGGAAAAACTTGGCAAGAGTTGGAGTCTACCTAGCTATCTCTTATGCTTCTCTCAAGTGCAGTTTCATTCCGCCCCTTCTCTTTGGATCGCATCGTCATGACCTTTGTTATTGGGTGGGATATGAAGAAAATATTTACCGTATTTTTCGCACCATAGGACGCACTTTTCCCCCTCCAAAAATGAAGGGAAAATGTGTGTGCGTCCTATGGTGCGAATGCAGGCTTTCGCTGAAGCCTGGAGAGTGAGAGGGGTGGGTTGCCAGCATGCCGAAGCCTGCGCGCGCTGAGCTCAGCGCGTCCAGGCTTCGCAGACCTCTCCACAAGCAGCGGGAGCCAGCGCTGGGCTCCCACGGCCTGCAGAGAGCTACCTGTTTGGGGGCTGGGGTTGGGGGAAGCTCGAGCTTCCCCAGCCCGCGCCTGGGGGGGAAAATAATTTTTTTCCCTTTATTTCCCCCCCAAAAAACTGGGTGCGCCCTATGGTCCGGTGCGCCCTATGGTGCGAAAAATACGGTATTTGCAGAGATGTATTATGGTAAGGTAAAGGGACCCCTGACCATTAGGTCCAGTCGTGGCCGACTTTGGGGTTGCTTTATTGGCTGAGGGTTTGTCCACAGACAGATTTCTGGGTCATGTGGCCAGCATGACTAAGCCGCTTCTGGCGGAACCAGAGCAGTGCACGGAAACGCCGTTTACCTTCCCACCGGGGCGGTACCTATTTATCTACTTGCACTTTGACGTGCTTTCGAACTGCTAGGTTGGCAGGAGCAGGGACCAAGCAACGGGAGCTAATGCCGTCGCGGGGATTCGAACTGCCAACCTTCTGATCAGCAAGTCCTAGGCTCTGTGGTTTAACCCACAGCGCCACGAAGAAAATATTTATTTGCAGAGATGTATTGTACGGGCCTCCAAAACCTTACTCTCAAGAGGTCTGGGTGATGTATGTATGACTTCTCTACTTCATCATTCCAAACAATCTTGTGAGGTAGGCTAGGCACACACACACACACACACACACACACAGAGAGAGAGAGAGAGAGAGAGAGAGAAGAGAGAGAGACTGGCCCAAGCCAGCCCAGAGAGCTTCCTGACTTGGCAAGATTTGAACCCAACCCTCTCCAGTCCAACCAAGCACTTTAGCCACTGCACTTATCTGGCTCTCATGATGAAGGTCATCATGAGGTAGGATGAATACCCCCAGCCCCAATTGCCAAGTCAGTTATACCAATCTTATTTATCCACACTATTTGTGTTTTCCATATGTATATCCAGTGAGGAACCCCCAGGCCTCTCTTCTGCCCTCAGGACTCCACCAAGCCACACCCTTTACGGGTCCTGCTCCACAGCCTCCTGGATTGCTTTGGCCTGGCTAGAATGTCCCTTGATGTGAGAAACACTTTTTGCTAGGATCTGCCGATCAGAAGGTCGGCGGTTCGAATCCCTGCGACAGGGTGAGCTCCCGCTGCTCGGTCCCTGCTCCTGCCAACCTAGCAGTTCGAAAGCACGTCAAAGTGCAAGTAGATAAATAGGTACCGCTCCAGTGAGAAGATAAATGGAGTTTCCGTGCGCTGCTCTGGTTCGCCAGAAGCGGCTTAGTCATGCTGGCCACATGTATGCCGGCTCCCTCGGCCAATAAAGCGAGATGAGCGCTGCAACCCCAGAGTCGGCCATGACTGGACCTAATGGTCAGGGGTCACTTTACCTTCACCTTTATTATACGGGCCTCCAAAACCTTACCCTCAAGAGTTCTGGGTGATGTATGTATGACTTATCTACTTCATCATTCCAAACAATCTTGTGAGGTAGGGTAGGCAGAGAGAGAGAGAAAC